AAGGGTTTCGGGATCTTAGGTTTAGAGTTTCGGGCTGAAGGGTGCGAGGGTTTAGGGTTTAGGGTTTAGGGTTCAGGGTTTAGGGTTTAGGGTTTAGGGTTTAGGGTTGAGGGTTTTGGGTTGGGCCTAAGGTTTCACCGCAACCCGGCGATAGATTTTTAAGGGATTGTCGTATCGTTGTTTGTTGTTTTGGTTTTGCTTTCTAGGGCTTTAAGGTTTGTATTCATGGTGAAAGATGAAACTGCGGAGGTTGTGCGGGAGTCGCCGGCAAAGGCCGGGATCTAAGAACGGGTTCCCTTGGCGTTTACGTGGCGACCCCCGAAGGCACACCCCTTCTATCTATCTATCTATCTATCTATCTATCTGTTTATCTGTCTATCTGTCTATCTGTCTATTTGTCTATCTGTCTATCTGTCTGTCTATCTGTCTATCTGTCTGTTTATCACTCTATCTATCTATCAAGCCGTCTATGTCTATGGATTGTCCATCTCACTCTCTCTCTATGTATATATGCATATCTATTTACGTATGTATGTATGTATGTATGTATGTATGTATGTATGTATGTATGTATGCAATTATGTATGTATGTATGTATGTAATTATATGTGTACATTAGAGGACCATCCAAGACACTGCAGCATCTCGAGGTCTGGAGTCTGAGGCTTGGAACTCTCTTCCCCAAGCCCTAAACCCGACACTGCCAACAAACCCACAGTTAAGGGTTTAGGGTTTAGGGCTTTGGGTTTAGGGTTTAGGGTTTAGGGCTTAGGGTTTAGGGTTTAGGGTTTAGGGTGAACCCTAAACGGCCATAAACCCCCTCGGGCTCTCGACTCCGCATCCCAAAGTGTAAGGCGACTGAGGGCTTAAGCTACGGGGCTAGGGGTCAAAACTTCGAGGTCTACGATTTGGGGCTTGGGGGGTTGGGTCTGTATGGGTAAGGGCCGGTTAGGGTTTGGGGGTTAGGGGCGTGTGTAGGGCGGTTTAGGGTTTAGGGTTTAGGGACACTGGTTTGTAACTTTTTCCGTGGCTTTTGTTTCCTCTACCTGACTCTGCCTGCAACCAAAAACATAAAGTCTAAAGTCTGCAAGCTCCTGGCTGCTTCTGCGGGAGAAAGGGGTCACCACACTTAAAAAACAACTAAACCCTAAACCCTTACCTTTCAGGATTTCTACAAGGCCTATTTCAACGCCTGGAAGGTTGGATTAGGGGAGAGTCTTGGTTGTTCTTGGGGTATTTAGGGGGCCTCTGCGTTTAGGGTTGTCCTCGCAACCCTAAGCCCTAAACTCCTAGGTAGCCTTAGGGAGCCCTCACAGGGGATCCTTCTTAACCCTACTTTTGGCTCTCTTAAAAGGGACCTTATTGAGAGGGTCTATATCCCCAAGGGTCCCCTTAATCCTAACTCCTATAAACCCCAAACCGAGATGCCTCGTTTTGTCAGCCCACTGAGGCCCTGGACACTTTGACGACCTACGTCGGCTACCCGCCTTACTTGTCGCCCAGCCGGGGCTGCTCTAAAGTAGGGCTCCTAAACCCAAAACCCTAAACCGTCTGTGGTATAATCGGGTTCCCTTTAAGCTTTAAGGGTTCAAGGGCAAGATAGGAGTTGTGACTCACCGGATCTCCTTCGCAGCTGAGCTCTCAACCGCAGTTACACATTGGCTCTAGGGTTTACCTTAACCGACCAAAATCCACTTTTTTGCAGGTTCTTGTTATAAACCCTAATATGGGATTTATAGGGACCCTACAAAAAAAGTAGGTTCTGGTAGGTCAAGGTAGGGTTTAGGACCCAGGGGGTTCTGCCGTCTTCAACCTCTATAGAGAAGTCCGTAGGAGCCTCTATTCCCGACCACCGCCCGAAGAGCCTCCGGCATTCTGCAGGATTATATAGGGTTTCGGGTTTAGGGTTTAGGGTTTAGGGTTTAGGGGGTATTAAGAACACCAGTAGGAGTACAGAGGACAGTGAGAATCAAGGTAAGAGCGAGGAGCATTCTTCGCCATACACTAGGCGCCCTCTTGCTGTCATCCGGAGTTTCCCAGCCCGCTCGCTTTCTAAACCCTAAACCCTAAACCCTAAACTCTATTCCCTAAACCCCTAAACCCTAAACCCTAAACCCTAAACCCTAAACCCCTAAACCCTAAACCCCTAAACCCTAAAGGGAGTTGCTGACAATAGCACCAGGTCCGAACCTCGAAGCCTCAACTCCAAGGTAGCATTGGGGAGACCCCTTTAAAGGGAGGCCTTCTTGACCCCACTGGTTTAGGGTTTAGGGTTTAGGGTGGTTAGGGTTTAGGGTTTAGGGTTTAGGGTTTGGGATAAAGGGGATCCTTCTTAACCCTAGTTTTGGCTTCCTTAACGGGGACCTTACTGAGTGGGTCTATATCCCCAAACCAGGGCCCCCCCAACAATCCTAACTCCTATCAACCTGGTTTGGGTTTAGGGTGGACGAGGCAGAGCACCTAAAGAGCCAACCCCCCCCCCCCCCCCCCCCCGCACCCCGCCCACATACCGGCCAAGCTTCCCAAACATCCAACACCCCTCAAATCGCCCGCTAAACCCTAAAGCATCAACTCTCAATACCCGAAACCTCAACACCCTTCACAATAAGCAGGATCACTGGCCCAGGTTTGGTCCCAGACGTGGCGCGCGTCCTGACTGAAGTCGCGAGGCTACGCGACAGAGAGCGGAAAGTCGCTGATCCCCGGTATGGAATGGAGGGATGCAGGGATGCGATGCTGGGGGTTGTTGCTGATTACTACTACTACTACTACTAC